CCTGCCTCTACCTCCCGAGTGCTGGGATTAAAGGTGTGCACCACCATGCCCGGCCTAGATAATTCTTAATTTCTTAAAACAAACTTTTAAGAAATCACAAAGAACTGGATGAGGTGATGCATGCCTGTAATCTTTTTTTTAAAAAAGTATTTTATTTATTTTTATTTATGTGTGTATTGTCTGCATGTAAGTGCACCTGTGTCTGCAATGCCCGCGGAGGACAGAAGAGACTGTTGGATCCCCTGGAACTGGAGTTACGGACAGTTGTTAGCTGCCATGTGGGTGCTGGGATTCGAACCTGGGTCTTCTGCAAGAACAATCGGTGTTCTTAACTGCTGCGCTATCTCTCCAGTCCCCCACACCTGTAATCTTAACATCAGGAGGCTGAAGCAGGAGGATTTTGAGTTCAAGGCCAGCCTGGGCTACATATCAAGTCATGCCTGGCCTCTGGTTCCTCCTTTTAAACTTCCAAACTGCTGACCAGGCACTCCTGCTTGTGATTCGTGAGCCATCTTGCCTATGTAGGCTTCGACCACTCACCACATCAGGTCCATCTGCTTTCCTCTGTCCTGTTCACCTTCTGACAGTTTGGGATAGACTCAATGAGCCAGATGCCCTTAACCAAATTCCCTCACGTCTCCTACCACTGCCTGCCCCTGACACTTCAGACCAATGTTCCAGCCTTTTGAGACCACCTCTTTGCCACGTCCCTGTCCAGTAGAAAGTAGCTAAAGAAAGACCATGATCATCCCTTATCATCAACAAAAGGTGGAAATGTTAGGTTCCTGGTAGGCTCCTAAAAATAGTGGCACCGTTCTCAACATTCTAACATGGCAGGTTCGAACTTAGCCCTGGGCAAGTCCCTCTGCTTATGGGGAGACCAACTGATCTTGAGCTAAACTGTCCAGTCTACGTCATGAAAGTTACCCAACCACCTAACTGCTTATAAAAGATGTCTGTCTGACTTCCCCTGCTTGCTGTTTCTGAGCTCCCTGAGAGGCAGCCCAGTAGTCTGTTCACTGTCAAATTAACTGCTGTTCTCCTATGGAAAAAAAATAGTTTATTTCTTTGTATAAATGTTTTGCCTGCATGTATGTTATGAGCACTACATGAGAGCTTGGTTGTGATCTGCCATGTGGATGAGCACTACATGAGTGCCTGGTTGTAAGCTGCCATGTGGGTGATGGACACCAAATCCCACATCTCTGTAAGTGCAGCAAGTGTTAAATGCTGAGTCATCTTTCCAGACCTGATTAAAAAAAAGTTTTGAAAACTTTTTTCTCTGTTTTTTTTCCTTTTTCTTTCTTTTTTGAGACAGGGCCTCCCTGTAGCCCCAGCTGGCCTGGAACTCACTATGTGGAACAGGATGGCCTTGAACTCACAGAGATCCACCTACCTCTGATGGGATTACAGGCGTGTGCCACCATGCCCAGCATCTATTAAATTTTTAAAAACTTTCATTTTGTATGTGTTGTATGCATATGTGTTATATGGGCATGTGGTAGTGTACATATCTCTACATACATGCAGGTGCCAGAGGACACCAGATGCCCTGCTCTATCACTCTCTACCTTATTCTCTAGAGATAGGGTCTCTCACTGAACCAGGAACTAGGTCACTGGCCATCAAACCCCATAGTATGGGTTTACAAGTCCAAGGAGCCATACCCAGTTTTTATTTTATTTTTAAAAGGAACCAGGGAGGTAAAGGAAAAGAAAGAATCTAAAAGAGAAGAACAGTAGGAAACAGGCATTAATAATGGAGATATGGATAAAAATGGGGTTATTTTAAGGGGAGGGGAGAAAGAAGGTTATACAAGGAACCTAGGGGATAAAGGGAAAGAAGGAGCTCAAGAGAGGTGGGACCATAGGAGAAGGGTATTATTAAGGGAGAAATGGAAAAAAACGGGGGCACTTTAAGTGGGGAAACCATGGTGGAAGGGTTAGACAATGTGAGAGATAAATATTGCCTAGCTAGTTTTAAAAAAATCAGAGGGAACCATATTAATCGAACAACCTACTGACAAATTATACATACAACTAGCCCAAGGAATATAATATATATCTAGGTAAGATTTATCTGAGAATGTTTGGTCAAGCTTTATCTTTGCCCAAGCTTTATCTACATGGTACACAGTAATTAAAAGTACCAAACTGGTGCAACTAACCTTGGATGTTTAATAACCATACTTTGAGGCCTATACTAATTTGGTCAGAGGGACATAAAGGACACTTTTTGCTCCTTGCCCTCCCTAGGTTGACTAAGTTCCAGGGGACTATGAGCATCTCTCAAAATGTCCTGTAACTGCGGTGAGTCACCTGTCCTCTTGATCAAGGAGGCCATAGAGATCCCATCAAATGGACTTGAACCAGTGTCTAGTCTACAAAGAGGAGGGTCAACACAGAGGTAACATTTCCTCCATACTTCCAAATGAAGCTAGCCATAGTCGAGTAGGACCTTTGACTTATCTTCGCATAGACGGAACTGGTAAAAGAAAGGAGCCAGGGGCTCCTCCCAAGCCCATGTGACCCCTGAGGAACAGATCCTCAAATGGCCTTCAGAGTAAAAAGAAATTGGTTTATCTGAGCCAATTATATGGTCTTAAACACTCAAAAGGAACGTATAACCAAAGATTAAAGGGGTCAATATAATTTTTTAAGAGTCCATGTGTATAGCTAAAGCTACATAACAAGAAACAATGCCAGACAGGAGATACCTTCCTTTGGGTTGTTGGCCAGCATGGCCCAAGAGACTCCCAGACAGTAACCCAGCATACAACTGGGAAAATGAACAGCAGACCCCAATCTTATCTGATGGAATATTAACAACTGATTGCTGTTAGATGAGGAAGAGCTGATCTTCCTAAAACAAGGAACTCTAGATAGGCTGACTAGATTCAGTGAATGGACAAGTACTGGGGAATGGCTGGGGGCGCTGACAACACAGTAGACAGTAACAGGGATGACAGAGTATACAGGGGTCCAGTGGGGCAGGGGGAGGCTATGGGAAGGTGCCATTTGGGAAGTGGGTATATAGGTGAATAAGATTGGGTTATTCTGTATGATACACACAAATACACATACACACACATACACAAATCAACAAATTTAAAAAATGAGTTATATTTGAGGAAGAAGCATAAAATTTTGCTTCATGTTAATTAGTAGAGATGAAAAACATTACAACTGAAATCTACCTGATGACTTTATATCCACACTCAGGTGCCAAAAACCCGAGTATAACTGAG